AGAACATCCGTGCTCCGGACGAGGGCAGCAAATCGCGCACTTTGAATCGCTTGCTGCGACTTTGCGCTTGGATGTACTTTATACTTGGTGAAGGGTTGTGAGAACATTGGGACGGAAGGATTATTTTGCATAGGCTCTTGCTCACTGTGCTAGGTTGGTGGCGCGCCCGTCAATTCCTGATCCACGTTTGCTTTGTGTTAGCGTCCACCCCTCCACCCCTCGCCCCACACCCCCCTTGGTCGGCGAGTCAGCTGAAAAAAATATTACACTTGCCAGTGCACACCCAATACCTAATGTCGATGCGCTGTTCATGCGACAGTGTTGTGTGGCACTGGTGGCTTTTGGGTATGAGATAGCGCTCCGATGCGCCTTGTACCGGCGCGGTTGATTTTCAGCGTTCGAACAGTGACCTGCCAGTGTCGCACTCCGTTGTCACGCCACGTGACGCTCTGCCAGGCGGCTGACCCCCGCCGGCGCCGGCAGACGTCTCGTTCAGCGGCCATGCGTGCGGCTCGTTCTACGTGCGCTGCTGCCTGTCGGCCGACGGCAGTCAGCTGGTGTCGGGCAGCTCGGACCGGCACGCCTACCTGTGGAGCGCGGCGGCGCCCGGGCCGCCACTGGCCCGCCTGCCCGGCCACGCCGACGAGGTCACCTGCGTCGCCTGGAGCTCCGATGGACGCACGGTTAGTGGACGGCCGACGCCGGCGACAGCGGCGCCGGCAGGGCCTGGCTGGGCTGCCGCTGCGGTGTGCAGGCCTTCACCTGCTGTGGGGTGCGGTACAGTTGTATGTTGTGAGTGCGATCGATTAGCGAATGTTCGGTGCAACCCAAAGGCGTATGCGTGTCTGCTGAATCGTAAAGCGTTTCTAAATAAATCATATGGTGTTATTTGGGTTAAGGGGCGCTTTGAGTGCTTTGGTCATATCGCGTCGCAAGTAAATTCAATCGGTTTGACCCATGTCCAACTAAGCATCACTTCATAAGCACCTGAAAGCTCCGGAATACAGAACTTTCGCTGAAATAGAACTAAGCTGTTGCTGTGCTATCTCCAAGAGCGCGTTCTAAGTGTGTCACAGAGCTGCGCCTTCCGCGCCGTAGGTGGCTGACGCTCGCCGTGTTTCGGTATTCCAGCTGGCGACTGTATGTGATGACCTACGACTGCGGCTGTGGCGGGCTGACGTCACGCCTCCGACTGAAGACGGCGACTCGCTGCTCATGGAGGCGATGTCCGGAGCGCCGCGCGCGCCGCTGCCGCTCTACACGCTCGGACGTGAGACGGGCGCCCGGTGGCGGCCGCGCGCCGCTGGCCGGGTGGCGGCGGGCCCCGCTGTAACACTGGCCCCACCGCCAGCGCCGGCCGCCGGCGGCCAGGCCACACCACGGGCGGCGCGGCGCGGCGGCCGGCCGGCCACGCCCGGCTCCACGGCCTTCCTGGCCAGTTGGCTGAGCGGCGCGGCGCGCACTCCCACGCGCAGCTCGCCCCGCAAGCGGCGCCCGAGCCGGCAGGGCGGCGCGTCGCCGGCCGGGGCGGAGGGACGGGCCCCCTCTGCGCCGCGCAGTCCGACCAGGAGACGGCCGACGGTGGCGGGCAGCTGTGAACGGCCCTGCACGCCGACGGGCAGCTGTGAACGACCCTGTACGCCGACGGGCGAGCCGTCTCGCAAGCAGCGCACCACACCACTGCGGAGTCCGTCCAGCAGGCTGTCGGCCACGCCTTCGCGAAGCCCCTCCACGAGCCTCGCAGTGCCGCCAGCCGGAAGCCCGGTCAGAAGGCAGCTCAGGACACCGTCACAGAGTCCCTCCAAGCGGCGGCCGGCCGCGTCGGCAGCTTCCCCGTCTGGCGACACTCCAGCCAGCCTGCCTTCCCGCGTCTCTCCGCGCAAGGCGGGGTCCACGCCCTCGCGCCACTCTCAGTCGACTGAGGCCGGGCCGGGCGTCGCCGACGCCTCGCCGCAGACGCCGGCTCGCTGCTCGCCCCGCAAGACCTCGGCCAAGGCGCTGTTCGTGGACAGCCCGTCGGCCGCCTGCCGCACACCACAGACGCCGCGGCTCCAGCGTGCGCCGGCGGCGGCCGAGTACCGCTCGCCGACGGCCAACCTGCCTAACTGGGTGGCGGACGGTGTGTCGCCGCACCGACCGGTGGCGGCGCGGCCGCAGCGCACGCCGCGCGCCGACTGGCTTACCTGTCTGTCGCAGAAGAAGCGCGCGCAGGCGGGCTCGACCGCGGCGCCGCCGCCGCTGGGCAAGCGGCCGCGCCGGCCGGCCAGGACCCCGCGCCACACACCCGGCTAGCGGCAGCGCCGCGCGCGCCGGGGGGCGGCGCGAGAGACAACTGGGCTTCGGTAAGGTGTGCTGTATCTGCTGCCAGAGTCTTCTGCTGTGCTGGCGCTTCCTCGTTTTTGAGGGCGCCAGCGTCAAACGGCATGGTGTTGGTACGTGTATTCTCGCTCGGTGCATCGTAGAAGACATGGTATTCTAAAACATGTGATATTCGATAACACTGAGCTCAGGATCTTCAACAGCTGCTGTAATGGGCACCAATGGCATTCATTTGTGAAGTGCTCTTCTTTCTGCCAATGAGCTATGCCGCCAGCGTGTGGCCAATGCTCTGCGTGCAAAGTGATTTGTTTTGCACGCGTCTGTGGGAATGTGGTGTTTCCGGTGAAGAAAGTGTGTGGCGCCGCTCGTGCGCGTTCCGTCTGGCACTGGGCACTTTTAACGTACTGTTTGCGACCGCTTGCTCGTGGCATCATGTAATACACGAATATATTGGTAGGTTTTGTCGCTTGAAAGCTGGTGGTTTTCCTATGTTCGAGCTACTGACCTTGTTCCAATCAGTCTATTTTCGCGAGGGACCGTCGAACGCGAACTGGCCCACGAAATCCTGCGGCATCGTGTGCCTGGCCTCGGCTCAGATGTATGAGAGAGGGAGCTAGCTACGGATAGCCGGGGATTGAGCTTGCGCCTTGCGGACATGGTACATTTCGAACGATGTGGCCGTCCCGGTCTGTTCCCGCTCCTCAACCAGGAATTCAGACGATTGGGTCAGTACTTCATCGCGGTCAGTACGCGGTCAGCCACTGGACCGGGCTTTCAGCGAGGTCTCGCGGTAACGCGAACAGAGTTTCACAAAGTCTGTCTGTCTCGTGGAGGAGCCTCGTGCCGATGCCGGTGGAGCGTGAGGAGACTCTGTCACAGCTTCCAGTGCCAGTCAGGTCAGCGGCCGGCTTCGAACAAAGGAAAAACGACTGCGACCGACACTGAGGACTGGGCACTACTAACTCACGCAGTGGCGAAACACATCAAGTATATAAAATAGTCCACACCTGTCGCACACACGCCCTCTATAGCTGTCAGAGAAAACGTCCCGTGCACTGGTGGGGAAGGTCACCGCACGCGCGAGCATTTCACCGACCTAGGCAGCCAGACCAGCCCTCCGCGCTATCGCCTCCCAGGCAGTACGGAGGACAGCGGCGGCGCAGTCTCCGCAGCGAACGGCGGCCGCGATCGGACGCCGCTGACAAGGCGTCCCATCGGCGGCGGTCGACGTCACCGGCCAGCATCCGGCCTCGCGCCTTAGGTCAACTGCAAGACGCGTCCCGACACGCTCACGCTGCCCGGCTCGGCCGGCAGCCGCCGTCACCAGGGCCGGGCCGACAAACCACGGCCCGCGGACCGGCGCGCGACGCTCCTGCGGCGGGGGGAGGGGGCGTGCACCAAGGCACGGGCACTGCTCAGCTCGGCCTCTGACGTCTGTCCGGCTGCCGTGCCGGACCACAGCCCGCAGAGCCTCGTCTGAAGGCCAGTCCTCGGCTTCAGTCGGTCGGGCCTCATCTGGTGTCGAGCCTCTGGCTCCAGCCGGCAGGCTCGTCGGCCGAATATCACGACTGGGTGTCAGCGCTCTGTGGCGCCGTCTGGCGGGCCAACTCCTGCAGCATATTGCGCACCTGCGGCACGCCAAAAGGGCTGCCGTTAGTGGCGCACCGAAGCTGGGGCTAGAGAGCTACATAATGATACATTACTTTAAGTTCCCCGAATGTGTATCGTGACCGGATGTGATGCGAGAGGTCATGATTACATTGATTGTACTAATTGCCAGTCTACAGATAATGCGGTGTAGTGCCAAGAGTAGGTGAATCCTGGATCCTGAAGATCCTGAATCCTGAAAATCGAACGGCACATCTCGAGTATGCCCCCGCCCCTGTAATCCAACATATCCTCTGCGTGCTCACACACTCGCGTTTGCCCCATGTCTACATCCCACCACCAGCCGACTTGGACACTCTTGGGGCGTTAGTGCCCACCCCTGACCCGGCCGGCAGCGTACCTCTTCGGCCGCCTGGATCTGGGTGCGCACAGTGCCGATGTACTGGTTGTAGGTGAGGCCGTCGGCGCTGGGCAGGTCGGAGCGTGCGCCCGTCACTGGCAACGGCGTGTACCGCTGGCTCGCTGACATCTGGGCACTGCACTCCAGCGCCGTCTTCTGCCGGGGCACGCCGAAGGGTGGCGTCACACGCGGCGCCAGGCTGGCCTCCTGGACCTATGTCCAGTTACGCGATCACAGCGACCGCACAACACTGTACACTCAGCAAATGCAGATTAGTTAAAGGGAGTATCACTACCACTTACCAGATTAAGCTCGATGAGATCACAGATGGACAGGAACTTCTCCAAGTTCTTCACAAACTCAGGGGCCATTGGGTCCATAGACTTCCTGTTGGGCAGATGAGGCAGAAGCAGTGAAAACGTGCAGATGAGGCCGATGGGGCAGTTCAAAGATGTTTTAACACATATTTCATGTGATGGAATAAAAAATTCTGCAGACAATATGCATATGTGTATGTCTATATATATATACATATATATATATATATATATATATATATATTGATAGATAGATAGATAGATAGATAGATAGATAGATAGATAGATAGATAGATAGACAGATAGACAGATAGCTGGAAAGATAAGACAGATAGATAGATATAGGACTTTAAAGGTTACCATATACTTCAAAACATAGCAAAAACATAGCTCCTCTGGTATGAAATGTATTTGTGCATAAAGTGCATTTTGTGAAAGCATAAAAACTGGTTCCATGAATAAATTGCAAGATCACATTGGAGAAAATGTTCTTCTACAGTCTCAGTAAGCAGCAGCCCAGCAGACACAGTGGTGCCATGGTGTACAGAGTGTCACATTCTGTTACATTCACAATGCAGTGTGATACAGCACAATGCATACATATCTACATACAGTACTAAGCAGCTGTGGCACATCATACTTACAGAGTGCCATTGTCAATCTTTCCATTATAGTTAATGGCCTGGGCAGCAGTCTTCATTGTCTCCTGAAAGGACATGATGTCAATGAACGAGGAAAAGAGCGTTGGATACAGTATTCAAGGTCACCTATTATTAAAACAACCATAAAACATAATATTTGGAACTACAAAAGCACAAAAATATATCACTCACACCAACAAGTTGAATGCAATTTTTCAAAGGATTTATCTTTGAACAAACATAAATCATTTCATGGTGACAAGAAATTTGGATGTTTTGCAGGTGCAGGAAATTTTGCTTAGATGTTTCAGATAGAATTCAGTCTATAAGTTTGAATGAAAAATCAGAAGATTCCACTTCACTTACTGACAGGGTCATTTTCAATTTTGTCACAAGGAGCTTGGTTTGGGATATGATGTCTAGCTTAGGATCTTGAGCCTGCTGAGGATTCTGCTGTGCCATTGCCTGGGACTGCTGCATGGCCATCACTTGGCTGTTTTGAGGCAGCTGCTGACTGGATGACATTCTGAAAAGAAACATGCCATCATCAGGGGAACTCAATAACAAAAAAATGAATGCCAAGTATCAGCTTACTTTGCTAAGCATACCTTTAGTTAACTGTAAACCTGGCCACATCCAACTTGCAACATAAGCCAATGACAACATGAATCCTTTAAAACTGCAGCATGTAGCAATCTCCCCCACATTTTTCCCAATCCCAGCAGCATACAATACAGGGCATAGTTTAATGTAAACCTGGCCACATTCAGCTCGCAACATACGCAGATGTCGACATAAATTCTTTAAAACTGTAGCACATGGCAGTCTTTCCATGATCCCAATCCCAGCAGCATATAATACAAGACATCCATCAGATAACTAACTCAAGAAATCATTAAGGCGACACATGGCACCTGGGCCTTGTTCTAGGGCCTCGACATGGCACCACCACAAAAAACCGGTTTTACGTAAAACCCCCCAAAATGGAATCCTCGATGCATATGTACCAAGGCAATAGAACACTGTGTAACCATACACTGGGAACGCGCAGTTAGAACCACCATGAACGTATGCTATGCGTTATTTCGGCCTTACGTGGAGGCTACCAAATAAGTACCGGATTTGGACATTTATTTCCTTTATTTCCGTAGTACGGAACGCAGACCACAGACGTTCCAAATTACAACCGCAAGTTCGTGCACAGGCTAACGAATGGGTAGTCAGGCAGCTGCACAACCTGTAGCAGCTTTTCGATGCATCACTACTCGATCGGTCTCTTATACCTTACTGACAAGGAAACATACAGTCTTCCCATTGATTCCGTTATGCCGACGGCTGCGTTTCGACCTTTCTCAGACAAGAGCTCCCGTTTGTAGAGCACCAGGAAGAAGGTGCTCTGACTTTTCTGGTCAGTTGCTAAAAGGTCTTGAATCCAACCAATGGGTACCTACCGGATACCACTTTGACGACACTGAATGGCCCTAGTCAATCTAGAGCACTCAGGAATACACCATGCATCGGTCCTCTCCTTGACGCAGCGGTCCCACTGACTGGACCAGATGGCCAGAGATCAACGCAGGAGCCCTTACTGACGTGCGAGGATCCCTTAACGGCGCACTGCTCCATGTAATTGGTTTAGGGACCCTGTTCGGGTTTTCGGGCACCTCACCGAAACGTGTCATTGGGACCACTTTCGTTCCCTGGGCCCTCTGACCAGCACAGGGCCCTTCGGAACTCAGTTTCAGTGTGGAATCTTTCACAGTCATTTTGCATATATATCTTAATTTTATGGGGCCCCGACCAACACGAGCGGTACTTTAATGTTCGGGGTGCCGTCCCTGTCCCTGTTCAGCGTCCCTGTCCCCCGTCAGCACGGGCTCTCCGTTAGACACTGTCTGCCCCGTGACCAACGCATGAGTACCTAATTTTCTAAGAGGCCAAAACAATCCAAAGGGTTTTTGGAATCGTATTTGCGACCCGGCGGATCCGGAAGGGAATTTTGGTAATGCTCTCCTCGGACCAAAGGAACACCAAAATATGGCGGTGAAGGAGCGCCAAAATTCTCTTTCCGTATTCGCATAACCTTTATTTTCAAGACACACCAAAAATCAGTGGCGTCACAACGGACCATACACTTCCGGGTTCCAGAGAAATGTAAAGGAAAACTGACCTCTGAAAAGAAAGTGGACCAAATCCGCCGGACCACTCCTGCGGATGGTACTTTTTGAAAAATGAAAATCTCAAAATAACGTGGCCGAAATCGGGGGATCTATTTGTGAGGAGGAGGGGAGGGGGGCGGGGGGCAAGCTTCAAGATGCATGATGAATCGTGGTCCCTCCCTTGATACAATTTTGGAACCGCCTCTGATTTGTGAGCCCCAGTGTTGTCCCTTTTTGACAAATAGCCCTCCTGACGGCACGAAGCTGACTGTTGGTGCTGATCGTTCCTGCTCGATACAGGGCACTGATTGACATTCAAGCGAACCGGTCCCGCGGGCGTGGGTACCTTAACATGCGCCCGGGTAGCCGGGTGAACGGTTGAATGCCCTTCGCTCAGGTGGGGATCAATTTAGCCCGGCTTAAGTCTCAAAAACTGAAAGAGCTAGATACACCAAGTTTGCGGGGTGAGTTGGCATGTACGTAAATTCACTTGCGTCAAAATTTGGGGTTTCTTTATTATGACCCTCGGGTAAAATAAGACTAAACATGGTCAAATTCCAGATTGGTGTGCAAAGAGCCTCTAAACATTCTCATGCAATCACCGTGAACCTAGATACCTACTCTGAGTAAAAGGTTACCGGTGCTCATTTCAAATTAGTGACATTGCTTGATCTTTCGAAGGTCATGGTGACTAAAATCACACAAGACTGCTGTTATTCTTACATTAGAATCAACGTCAAGAATTATGCTAACCAGCATGTTCCTAAAAATAAGATGCCAAACTGCGTCACTTTAGGTCAGTTACCTAATCTTACCTTTAAGAAGTCCATGGAAGATCTATAATGCGGTTCCTGTTATCAATGAATTCAAACCAGCTCCAGAAACCAAACTAGCCGGTTTTATTACTGAAGTAATAAGACAAGCCAGTTTCGAGCTTCATATCTGACCCTAGGTCAATAGGATATCCTGAGCTAATTGTTCTATTGCTTAAAAACTATCACAGAGATGTATGGCTTCGTCTAACGCTCCGTTGTTGTATCAGATTGAGCGATTCCCTAGAAATTGTCTTCGCTGATCCCGTGGCCTGTATTTGACCTGGCGTAGGTCAATGTATTCACGGGGCTCATCTAAATTTTTAATACCAGACGGTCTGCCATTCAGTTGCCAACAGCTATGCAAAATTTGGTGAGATTATGCTGCGCTGTTCGGAAATAATTTCGGAAAAACCTTTGGAGGGGATCAAATTGAACTTCTGAGCGCTTGTTGAAAGAAGCGTTTTTACATTTATATCAGGTTTTGAACTGAAACAGTCACATTGAAGACCTTCCGGTGCTGTTCAAAGCCCTGGCCTTTTTAAAACCCAAGTCTCTCTCATTTATGAGCTACACGTCTGCGAAAATGCGGAAACTATTTCCAAGAGAGTATTGCAAAGTCACCTCGGCATTTGTGACGTATTAGCGTCATTCAAATTCTGTCATTCCATGAGCCATGCGGTGATCAAGGCCAAGAAAAATATCATCGTCGAGTCATTCATATCTGGCGTTCGCGAGCACGATTTCCGGATATAACGACCGTCATTTGGCTTTCAATCAATTTTGGGCAACGCACTGTGACGTGATCAAACCATGACATAATGAGGAGGATATTTATTTAACAAAAGATTGTGCTGTCTAGAGCAAGCTTCTCCACCTAAATAGCATACTAATGATTATAAGTGAGCCTGTTTCATCATATCTGATGCCTGCTTTACTGTATTTAAATGTGAAACATTCCCCTTAATACCGCCTGTGGCAAGCCCTTTGGGCCCTTGGAGCCCTAAAATTGGACCATTGATGGTCGGTCTCGAGGAACCCAAACGGCCCCCGGAACTTAGGGAGAGGAGCCGTAACTCTTTTGCTTTTACAGCCTCCTAGCCCCAGGTCCTGGCAATACTTGCTGGGATGTAGTTTCCTATTCAGTTAGGGAGGCTTCAACACCTAGCTTGCTCTTGAGCCTCCCCCCCCCCCACGCACAAAGTAAGAAAAACAGGGCTTAATCCAGAGAGAGACTCGTTTGTTGGCATGCTTTTGGGGTAGGTTCCTCATCCGTTGTTGCACAGCCTTTCCCAACTCATATTTCGAAACCATGCCCCTACGTGCACGGCTCCAGTATGCATACCGTGCGAGGAGGAAACCATGTATACGCCTCGCATGGTATGTATACAGTGCCAGAAGGAAACGTAATGCGGGCGTCCGAAGACAACGACCTGGACGTCTTCGTCGACGAACATCACAAGTTCAGGAAGCAGACTGCGGTCGTTCCCAGAAAACTAAGCCAGATTCCGGGCATCCCAAAACCTTACTTTGCACATTTGGGCTCGAGCTTTAGAGCATCATAAAGACGTACGAAAGCTGCTCTATGTTGGGCTGTATTTTCCAATTTCACGAAGGCCTATGAAAATTACTAACTTGTCAAATTTTCAACTCGGGAATGCGATTTAAGTGATGCATAAGAAAGATTGGGTCTATAGAATCAACAATGGAGGGAAAAATGTATAGTGCCGTCGGAACGGGAAATTGTCTTTCTTTCGCATGTAAACTTCCAGAATCACATAGCCCGGGTGTTTGCACTTCCATTTCTTTGATCACGCCAGTATCCAACCAAATATATCAAGGGGCACGCGTGGCTTTGTGCCGCACACGCAGAACAGCGCGCAGACAGGAAATGACGTCTGTGACTATGGCTGTGTATGGCTGTGACTGCCAGTGATGACGTTGGGTAGTGAGCCTGCGCGAGCATTATGAAATACTAAAACATCCACATTGCGCGGACCTATTCCAGGACGCGAAACAATGGTACGCGTTCCTGGACAAAGGTGTACCATTGTTTTGTGTCTCTGGAATACAGGAACGTGTCCAACGAGTAGGTGGGAAGCGTCAACGATCCGTGCATAACGAAGGACACGCCCCTGTGTGGTAACTTCCGCACGCAGCTAACAAAGGATCTTACTAGCCCGCCTGAGCAAACGACTCCGGAAAGCTCTCTGACTAGCTCAAGCCACGAACCGGGCACCATGACTTTGAGCATGACGCCGATGACAGCGTCAAAGTTGTCAGCTGCTCAAGGCGTAAGAGGGTTGACGTACCGAGACCGCCTGGACCATGCAGTGTGTGTGTGTGTGTGTGTGTGTGTGTGTGTGTGTGTGTGTGTGTGTGTGTGTGTGTGTGTGTGACAACAGGGACTGACTGATGCGCCTTTGTGAACTGCCCGGGAAAATTCGGAGTTTTCCACTGAGAGTTACGGCACAGTGGGTCAGCACGGATTGATGTGGTGGTAGGCGGCGACTTCTGCGAAAGTCATTCGTTCACAGTTCAAGAGAATTTTGAAGGCTTTAACCAAGATGCGGCACTTTCCTAGTCTGCTGACATCAGAACAACACAGAACGGCGGCACAGTAACTGTCCTGTTTCCGATGAAAATAAGAAAAAGTGTTTGAGTGACGATCCCGGGGCGTCATGCATGCCTGAGCGACCTTGAAATAGTCGCACGAAATGGTCCTCACGTCTCCGAGGGTTACACTGCAGGTTTCAGGGCATACACTGGAGGGTTTTAGGTCTTAACGCGCTTGGCCGGGTTGGAGTGAGTTGACTTTCCCCCACGGGTTTTCGAGCACGGGTAAAAAACAAACGCTCACAGTAGCACGAAATTCTTAATACCTGTTCATCTACAAATTTGACATCCGCTGCGCAAATTGAAGGCTTTGATCTGCCGAATTCAGCGACCTAAGTCGGGTCAAAGAGGTCAACCTGCAACGAAATTTGACCACACATTGTTTGTTGTGGGCCATTTGCCGTGGTTTAAACTTATTTAAGTAATAGAGCATGCATTGAGGTTTATGTTTCATATTTTTCGGAAAAAATGGGGTAAGTGACCTGAATTCAAGTCAACTTGAGCTAATGTTAGTAAATAAGGCAAATTTGTAGGTATTTTTGCGCAGTTTTGTTGCTTGCATATGAGAAAGAGTTATAAATTGATGCACAACCATCATATGAGCACAGAACACATGATCTAGGCCCAGGTCATGAACTACCTCTGTGAGTGCCTTCTGCAAAACACGCGTTGGATTAGACATAAACGGTTGTACCAAGTAATTTTGGACGCAGAACTCGAAAAGTCTACTGCAAAAATGCTGTGATATCATACTTATGCAAAATGAGGTCATCATAAGTCACCTGATGACCTACAAGGTGACATGAGTTCATCCAAAGTCAATAACCTATGGTGCCGTACAAGCTAGATGAACGAGTGCGACGCAAGTAGCAACTTTCTTATCGTG